CCCCCCCTCCATGCAAGTTCTTTTGCCAGAGTGTAAAGAAGCACGGTCTCCCATAACAGGGGGGTCACCAGCTTCTCCTGGAACTCGAGGCTCCACCATCGAAGCTCGAGGGTTTTGCTTTCACGTTTTTGGATTGCTTCGGAGGGCTCTGGAGCGCTCTGGGGGCCCGCTCCCCCGAAATAAGTGTGGGTTGGGGCCCCCCGACGGGGGTCAACCTCGCCCCGTCGTCGGAGCCGCGACGGGGGTCGGAGCGCCTTCGGCGCGCGGTGGCTGCCCGTGACGGGGGTCGGTGTGGGGCTGTCGGCGGGGGTGACGCCCCCCCGACGCTGACTGAGAAACTCGGAGTACCCATACCTCTACCCTTCCCTCGTGTTCCCCTTTTTGGCCTCCTGGGAGGTCCTCGTCGCCGCGGCTGGAGGCGCCTCGAAGTTCTGATCGGAATGCGCCCCGTGAGAGTTTCGGGGGGTAGCGGTGCCGGCGCCTGTTGGTTTCTCAAGAGAGTCGGGAAACGTACTCGAGTATAGCTGGACTCGGGCATGCCGCTTTTTTTTGACGAGCGCGTCTTGGATTTTGACGGACCCGTTTCCGTGGGATGTCTGCAGCGGGAGCCCGCGTCGAATTTCAGATTGGGTCTCGTCATTTTTATGATGGCCCCAGTCAGGCGAGCCCGAGTCCCCTGTACCCGAGCCTTCCGTCTCCCCGAGAGAGGAGGCTTTGACAGCCTCGCCGCGTCCCTCGAGGGAGGAGGAGGAGGAGGAGGAGGAGGAGGAGGAGGAGGAGGAGAAGTTTCGCACACCAGGCGTCGTCGCCCCGTTGCGGGCCCCAGGGCGATCACAGACGGATCCCGCTCGGTGCCCGTTGGCTTCTCAAGAGGGGGTGCTGTGGCAGCCTCGCGCCCCTGGAGGCCTCGGCGTTGCCGTTTTCGCACACCGGGCGTCGTCGCCCCGTGTCGGGCGGGCCCCGGGGCGATCACAGACGGGTCCCGCTCGGCAAACGTAGCATTAAGGCGGGCCTGTGCCTCGACGAGGGGAATACTCCAGGTTTCGTAATAAAAGGGAGGGGGTCTGGACCCTCCAAGACAAGCCATTTCAGACCCCCCCCCCCGTGGGAGAACCCTCCAAAACATCGTCCCCAGACCCCCCCAGGCCCTCCAAGATGGCCTGGAAGAGACCCCCCCCCGAAATGAGACCCCCCTCCCTTCATTACGAAATCTGGAGTAGCATCAAGGCGGGCCTGTGCCTCGACAAGGGGAATATCCAAAGATTGTCCAAACATAGTCTGGGGATGATTTTGTTGAGCATTTGTTTTAGCAGTTTGGTGCATTCTTGGATTATTTTTTTCAGTTTTCGTCCAAAATCGGCCTGTAGGGGGGTGAAGGCCTTCCGTCGTAAGTGTTATCGATTCTGCATTTTGTTTCGTAGCGTCGGCTCTCAAGCCTAGGGGTCCTGTTGCAAACAAGGGCTGATGAATTGGTCCTCGGGTGGCATCGGGGGAGCCACGCTGTGGAAAAAAGTCACCCCATCGGATGCTCGCGACAAGCGTGGAGAAGGAACAGGAATGGGAGGAACGGAGGGAGAAGGGGACGGAGAGGTCCGCGCGGATTTCCTGGATCGGCATTCGCCCCCCCCTGCCAGCGCCTCCTGCGCCGCCCCCGGCGCGCTCCGCGCGCCGGGGAGGGGGCTCCAGCGCCGATCCAAGACGCCCGCGGGAACGCTAGAGAAAGTATGCTTATGCAGCACTGCTCTTCTCATCAGCGATGCTGCAATGTACCCTCTGGCCCTCCGCCCTTCGTCAGACTCTGAGGGCCTTTCTGCTATGAAGGGAAGCACTCTCTTGAGAGACGGAGCCCCATGGACTTGCCATTCAGGCGACGTTCTGTTCTGGCAAGGGGCTTTTTGGCAGCCTACGGGATACTCCAGATTTCGTAATAAAGGGAGGGGGGTCTCATTTCGGGGGTGGTGTCTCGTCCAAGCTATCTTGGAGGGCCTGGGGGGGGTCTGGGGACGATGTTTTGGAGGGTTCTCCCACGGGGGGGGGTCTGAAATGGCTAGTCTTGGAGGGTCCAGACCCCCTCCCTTTTATTACGAAATCTGGAGTACCCAGAAGTCGATTGGGCAGTATCAGAAAACAAACCAAAGATCAGACATCCCCGTTTTGAAAGGGTGCTGCACTCCATCCTCTAGTCATGGCACAGTTCTACGCGCCTGGCCGCATGCTCTTAGAAGTCTCAGGAGGCAGCCCCGTTTCGAAAGCGGATCGCCCTCGATCGTTGCGTCGGCCGTGCACTTCTGGCCCGCGTGCCTGAGAGCGCGTCCAGCGAGAGCCTCCATTTGAGGAGGGATCGCCCAGTCCTGCACGTTTGGCCACACGGTCGAGGACGTAGACAAGCGAGCGCCCCGCCTCGAAGAGCCGCCGCCCTCCACCCGCCCAGCGAGCGCGAACGTCCCAGGGACGAGCAGGCGCGGCGCCAGGGCGAGGGCAGCCTCTTGCAGACCGGGCCGCCCTCCGTCCTGGCGGGTGTGAGCGCGGCCGCTTCGGCGACCGTGCGCGACGCCAGTGCGAGAGCACGGCTGGAAAGCCACCCGTTCTCCATAGGGGGATTTTCGACGAAAAAAATACACCAGTCATACCCCCCAAAGGTAAAAAAGAATAGTCCCCAGACTATTTTTGGATTATTTTTTGATTGTCTCCATGCACGGATGTGGAAGGACCTTCAAGCTGGGCCACCCTCCGTCCTTGCAAACGTGAGAACGACCGTTTCGACGACTGTCGTGGACGCCCGAAGTGGGTACGGAAAGAATGGGCAGTATCCCGGCAAGGCAACCTAACAACGATGTGTAGGAGCATATCCGGAAGCATTCCCCTTAAGACTCAGATGATAATCCAGTTGTAGAACTCTGCTGTTCTCGCAGTCGTAGTCGCATTCGCGGTGACAGTCGCAGTGGCAACGGCAGTCGCAGTCACAGCCTCAGCCTCAGCCTCAGCCTCAGCCTGCCTCAGCCTCAGCCTCAGCCTCAGCCTCAGCCTGCCTCAGCCTCAGCCTCACAGCCTCAGCCTCAGCCTCAGCCTCAGCCTCAGCCTCAGCCTGCCTCAGCCTCAGCCTCAGCCTCAGCCTCAGCCTCAGCCTCAGCCCTCAGCCTCAGGCCTTCAGCCTCAGCCTCAGCCTCAGCCTCTCAGCCTGCCTCAGCCTCAGCCTCTCATCAGCCTGCCTCAGCCTCAGCCTCAGCCTCAGCCTGCCTCAGCCTCAGCCTGCCTCAGCCTCAGCCTCAGCCTGCTTCAGCCTCAGCCTCAGTCTGCCTTCAGCCTCGGCCTCAGCCTCAGCCTGCCTCAGCCTCAGCCTGCATCAGCCTCAGCCTCAGCCTCAGCCTGCCTCAGCATCAGCCTGCCTCAGCCTCAGCCTCAGCCTGCCTCAGCCTCAGCCTCAGCCTGCCTTCAGCCTCAGCCTCAGTCTGCCTTCAGCCTCAGGCCTCAGCCTCAGCCTGCCTCAGCATCAGCCTGCCTCAGCCTCAGCCTCAGCCTGCCTCAGCCTCAGCCTCAGCCTGCTTCAGCCTCAGCCTCAGTCTGCCTTCAGCCTCGGCCTCAGCCTCAGCCTGCCTCAGCCTCAGCCCTCAGCCTCAGCCTCAGCCTCAGCCTGCCTCAGCATCAGCCTGCCTCAGCCTCAGCCTCAGCCTGCCTCAGCCTCAGCCTCAGCCTGCCTCAGCCTCAGCCTCAGCCTGCTTCAGCCTCAGCCTCAGTCTGCCTCAGCCTCGGCCTCAGCCTCAGCCTGCCTCAGCCTCAGCCTGCATCAGCCTCAGCCTCAGCCTCAGCCTGCCTCAGCATCAGCCTGCCTCAGCCTCAGCCTCAGCCTGCCTCAGCCTCAGCCTCAGCCTGCTTCAGCCTCAGCCTCAGTCTGCCTTCAGCCTCGGCCTCAGCCTCAGCCTGCCTCAGCCTCAGCCTGCATCAGCCTCAGCCTCAGCCTCAGCCTGCCTCAGCATCAGCCTGCCTCAGCCTCAGCCTCAGCCTGCCTCAGCCTCAGCCTCAGCCTCAGCCTCAGCCTCAGCCTCAGCCTGCCTCAGCCTCAGCCTCAGCCTCAGCCTCAGCCTCAGCCTCAGCCTCAGCCTCAGCCTCAGCCTCAGCCTCAGCCTCCTCAGCCTCAGCCTCAGCCTCAGCCTCAGCCTCAGCCTCAGCATCAGCCTCTCAGCCTCAGCCTCAGCCTCAGCCTGCCTCAGCCTCAGCCTGCCTCAGCCTCAGCCTCAGCCTGCTTCAGCCTCAGCCTCAGTCTGCCTTCAGCCTCGGCCTCAGCCTCAGCCTGCCTCAGCCTGAGCCTGCATCAGCCTCAGCCTCAGCCTCAGCCTGCCTCAGCATCAGCCTGCCTCAGCCTCAGCCTCAGCCTGCCTCAGCCTCAGCCTCAGCCTGCTTCAGCCTCAGCCTCAGCCTTCAGCCTTCAGCCTGCCTGCCTCAGCCTCAGCCTCAGCCTCAGCCCAGCCTCAGCCTCAGCCTCAGCCTGCTTCAGCCTCAGCCTCAGCCTCTCAGCCTTCAGCCTCGGCCTCAGCCTCAGCCTGCCTCAGCCTCAGCCTGCCTCAGCCTCAGCCTCAGCCTGCCTCAGCATTCAAAATGTGGCACGGGAAGAGAGTTCTGGGAACTCGAAGAACACGGAGTGGCCTAGAGTTGGCTCCGGGCATTCAAAATCATGCCCAGGAGTTGAGTTCTGGGAACTCGAAGAACACGAAGTGGCCTACAGCTGGCTCCGGGAATTCAAAATCATGCCCAGGAATGGAGTCCTGGGAACTCGAAGAACACGAAGTGGCCTACAGTTGGCTCTGGGCATTCAAAATCATGCCCAGGAATGGAGTTCTGGGAACTCGAAGACCACGAAGTGGCCTACAGCTGGCCCCGGGCATATCAAATCATGCCCAGGAATGGAGTTCTGGGAACTCGAAGACCACGAAGTGGCCTACAGTTGGCCCCGGGCATTCAAAATCATGCCCAGGAGTGGAGTTCTGGGAGCTCGAAGTCCACGA